TGGAAACACAGCTATTTGTTCAACTTGTTTGCAATTCGACACTCGAGGTGTTCCCATATATACGATGAATAACGATGCATAATACTTCGAAGTATATATTATTGCATTAAATATTACGAAAATTAGCTCGATGCCTCATAAAGTTGCAAGTGGAAGTACGGGTAGGCTGGTGCCACCCTTCACTTAGGGTGTGTCGATGGTGGACGACGTCGCCATTTCCCCCGTGTAAATCCTATTCACCAGTCTATAGGCCGAGCGCATCCCCCCTTTTCTTCACCGCAGTGATCGCCTTGGCAATATGCGTGGCACCCCAATGCAGTGTCTACAATGCCTTGGTCGTGTACATGGCGTACATATTACTCCCGTCTGGTAACCTTTCAAAAATAATACTCCATTTTCAGCCAAAATGGGATATAACCAAATATCCCATTTTGGCTGAATATTACCATTTTCAAAATGGACGTAAAATGTCCATTTTGTAATCTAGCGTTTTGGACTTCATCAACGAGTAAATTCCACGTGGAATTATTGGATTTGGATGAACACTCATCAAGCAAGACATGTTTCAATTTTGATCAGATTAATTGAGTTCGGCCCCAATATGGCGTTTTGGGCCAGAATATTGTAATATTTCCGGTTGCCAGTCGGGCGCTATATATTTCCTGCTTCCAGTGCAATTTATGTTGGAGGTCAGAAATCGCTCAATTTTAAACTCGTCTGCAAAGCTTCAAAAATCGCTCCCAGCTAACGGTGAAGTCGAGCACGCTCGTACGCAGTGTTTGTACCTCGCAACTCTTTAAGTTCTACTTTTTATCGTCAAAGAGCTCCAATAATTTTTCATACACATCTGCCTTTGTGTTGACATTCGCGTCATGTAGTTGTTGTGCATTTCATCCAAATCTCGATTTTAGAGTCCATTAGCCCAACCGTATTTAAGCTTGTACAAACTATACGATCCACGTTTTACTGTTAACTTGGTATAGACTGACTGTACTACAGTATTAATAGTACTGCATCAGAGTTTTGCCCAATCGCACGTACTGACAGAATCCGTGCTTCGGATTGGCAGAAATTCACCAAAACATAATGTGATTGCATTTGGCGGTTGTTTCACACACATTCTCCCGTTTCAAATTAGGTTCGAATTTGGGGTACTACTAAAGTGCATGTATTTACATCATCTTCTGTGCTGCAGTGTCATTATAGCTTGGCAGAGAGCAACGGTTGTAGCCATTGGTGGTAGCCCGGCACGACGTCGGTCTGGTTGAGGGGCTCTGCGGCCGCGCGGGCAACCAGCGCGCGGTAGATATCTCCGTCGTACCGGCCGATGGTCGAGTTGAGTTCAAAGTCAGACAAGCCAAACCCATCGACCAGCGCCACCGCATTGCGTCGAACGAGTGGAAGCAGCGCCAGAAGCTGGTCCTGCACCCACGTTCCTTGGGTCGAGCTCAAGTGGTCTGCCAGTCGAAACTCGCCCAAATTCGCCTGCAGTCGCCACAACCCGTACAATTGCCACAGTTGCAGCATAGCCAACTTCAAATTCCCATCTTTGATGTCCTCAACTCCAGCGTAAAAGCAAGATAATACAACCCACTCGGCGTGGGCCACCGACGCCTGCGTCAAGTGATGCAACGATTGGCTGTGGGCGTCCGCGCGCACCAGCAGCTCAAGTGCGCGCACTTGGAACGCCCGCAACAACACATCCGGACGACGCACGTCCGACGGGTGGCTCGCGGCGCACTTGGAGTGCGCGTCCACGTGAAGGAACTCAAGTAGGTTCAACCCCGGGGTACTGGTCGTCGGAGGTGCCCGACGATTGTGCAGACATTTTAGTAAGAACGCACCGTGTTGTTGTACTAGTACGTCCTTGGTGCCTAAATATCAACACAAAATATAGGTAGATTGGGATATATATATATATATCGACCACAAAAGCGGTACCTTCATAGGTACAGGCGCCAATGAATTCTTGGAAAATGTATGGCAAATTACTCGTAGCGCTGTACCCATGCCCCCCACACGCCCGACGCGCTCGTTCGATGCCGTTGCCCACTTCTTCTGTTAACAAGGCCTTCAACCCCGACGCTGATGCGTGCAGCTGGTTCAGCAAGAACAATTGGTCTATAATAGTATCGAATTATTTGGAGCAGGGAGTTGGTTCGGTTGGGATTTGGGCTATATATATATATATTTATCTGTATATATATATATACATATATATGGTCAATTCAAATGAGTTATTTTGGATGCATGTCGACGGTTGCGGAGATTATGGATGGTCCGAATACAAGAGGGAGGGATAGTAGTATATACAACGCATTTGCCATATATAAATGATAAATAAATGTACTATGATAGATCCTAGATCGAGTTCATGATATTATATTTCAACCTTAAAGGTATAGTGTATACATATCATGCGAATTATATATGTATATTTCACAAAAGATATTTATATATTTCACAAAAGATAAATATATATTTCGCAAAAGATACATATATATTTCACAATAGATACATATATTCTTCACAAAAGGTATATATATTCTTCACAAAAGGTATATATATATATTTCACAACATATATACATATTTGTACATACCCAAGCCCATTTCGCCTTGTTGGACTTGGGACGCCACTTGCTGATACAACCCATCGAGGCCGCGGTGGGCGAAATACGATGCATACGCGAGTCCGATCAATGGAAACAACGTCAGTTGTTGGTTTTCGTAGTCGAGAACTTGGTTCTAAATATATTAATAATATATATATATATATTAGAACCCCACACAACAACTAATAAACGAATGGTATACCTCTGGCTGACCACGACCAGTCGATCCTTGGATTCGAGCAGCACTAAACCGAGTGGCAATTGTAATGGCGCTGGCCATAGATCTACCACGTCCAAAAGGTAAAAACTCAATTCCCACTTAAATATATATCAGAATTCTACACATTGACTCGTGTAATAGCTGTATCAACCATAGTATACTCCTAAGGCAACACAACAGCATATTCGATATGAATGGAAACACTAACTGTAAAGTTATCCATCGTAATATAATATATATATATATTATATGCTGAATATGTATACATATATAATATATATTATATGTTGGATACACAAATATTATATATACA